TTTTTTTAATTAATATAATTTATGTATTCAGATGTATTATATAATTTCTCTGAAGATTGCTACGTTTTTGGGGTATTTTTCGGTTGAGAATCTTTTTTACAACCGGAAATACAAATTTTGTGTGTTATATTAATTGAGTTTGTTGAATTATATTAGGAGTCTATTATGTTAATTGATACACTTTTCGTTTAAAAACAGTGTAATCCCTTGCTTCACGCCGTGAATACAGTCGAATACAATAATCTTCCAGCTGTAATCCCATGTTTCACGCCATGAATACAGTCGAGTACACTCGAATACAACAACTGATTAGCTGGACTTCCCTGATTCACGCCTATTTTTGCTATTGTATTCATGAATACAGTAGCTTAAATACATCTAATACATCTTATAACAACAGAAAACGTATCTACAATCTGTAATATAGCAAATGGTATCTATAGATAACTAATTACCACTAAAAGATAGTGCTTTATGAAAATTTCTCTTTAATATATCTTTTTGTTAAATGAAAAAGGAACTATTATAAAGAAGGAATAGCTGAAACGAACTTTTGATTAATTTTAAAAATGATGTCATGGAAATGAAAACCTGCAAAAAAATAACAAAATAATGAAATTAATTAAAAGGACAAAGAAGCACAATGAGAGGAAATATTCTTGAAATCTTGGATGTCCCAATATTTTATTTTTTTTGCCTCGATTTACTTTTTTTTTTTTTTAAAAATATTAGTTGGAAGGAGCTCCTGAATAATGTGATTAATTAACATTAATTAATTCGTTGAAAAGCTGGAGAGAGGGCTATAAATATGGCCCTTTCATGAAGCAAATAATTGCACACAAAAACACATTGATCTCTCCTCTCTCTCACTATAGTAGTAATACTATACTATCATGGCTCGCAATTATACTTTCTATTTCACTGTTGCCCTACTGATAACTTTTGGTAAATGACCTTTAATTTGTACCTCTCGCTTTCTTTAATTTCTCTCTATGTAGCATTTTCACATGTATAATCTTTTACATATTCAAGCATGGTACAAACCGGGTACTATATATCTTAGTTTATATGCATTTTTGGTTACGTTTAAGAATAACAATACACTACTTGTACTGATTATGACATTTGTCTTTTCTTATGAGATACTACTATATATACAGTTTATTTAGCTCCAAAAGTAGTTGGTATGAGAGAGAGGTGGTGCATGATATAGGAAGATGGAAATGAAACTAGCAGCTCATCCCAATGGAGTAACTTGCTTTAGAAAATGCAGCTCTGATCATGACTGCACTGATGGCTGGTTCTGTAGGCATTGTAGCTACGATGGTATTTTACACACCAACGCTACGATGGGCCTTTCTTTTCCCCTTTTCAGCTTTAATTTGTTTAAATATACAGTATAATCTCTCAGAGTGGGGTTTGAGGGGCAGTACGTAGACCTTACTCCTACATTGCATGTGGAGATAGAGAGCCTGTTTCTAGTAGACCCTCAGTTCTTTTTCAGTTTTGTTAATTTGTGAGAAGGAAAAAACATGACCAAAGTTCAACTTAAGATTAGGACAATGTGGCTGTGACAGGGTCTTACATCAATAGTCGGACATGGTCTACAACTGTTTCTGCATTTGTACTTATAATTTAAAATCTCTATCATTCTGCTATAACTGTTGCTTCTTTATTGTAGTTTCTTTAATTCATATACACGCTTATGTATGGTAATATATACATGTAGTGTGAAGGTGACAGAGCATAAGTAAGAAGAAGAACTCTGGTGGCATCCAACTGCCATTGGGACTGTCATTAAACAAATAACTGAACAGAAATGGCTCCTAAGCAAGGAAATATAGAACTAGAATTTCTGACAAAAGTGAAAAAGGAATAAGAATAAGCAAAAAGGCCTAAGACATGAAAAAATGTCTAGTCTATTTGACTCTTTGAAAACTCAGTTCACTGAGTCTCTGATAATAGTGTTTCCTTGAGCAATTTTCACAACATAAAGAAAGAAAAAAACAGAAGAGAAAGTCATCTTAGATGAAAAAATTTTATTCGCACCGCCAACTGTTTACACTAAACCAATGCATAATATATATTGGAACATACACTATTATTAGTTAACCATGGTTAAGTAATGCATATTTTTACTTTATTAAATCACTTAACTATGATTAGTTGAATTGATTTGGTGTAAACAGTGGGGGTAAAATAAGTTTTTTGAGGGCATTTATCACAGAAATTGAAATGCTTCGGGGTCAATAACACAATATAGACAAATTTCAAGGATGTAGTTGCAAATATACATTTCCCCAAATTCTAACCCCTCCCAGGCTCCCCTAACCCGATTTTGGTTCGCTAATGACAACCGCTCGTCGTCGTACGAATCAACCTTCTCCACCTCCGTCGCCCACCATTCTCCGCCACCAGCCTCTCCGCGCGTTTTCCGGCGCTTACTACCAGCCTCATTAGGAATTTGATAAGCTTCTAGTCAACAGCTGAGCTTAAAATATCCACTTGAAGATGAATTCTTGATGGTTAAAAAAATTGAATTTTTGTCCAATTTGCTTCAAAGGTACAATCTGTTTTATTTTATTTTTCCTGCTGATCGTATTCTTATTTTGTGGGTAGTACTTTATTTCCTAGAAATTTTAAGTTTGATATGGTTACCTGAGTTTTTTTAGAAGCATTTTATTGCTGGAATTTCTGACAGTTAATAAAAATGGGCCTTGTTTGAAGTTAAGTGATTTTTAGCTTTTCTGTTGTTATGTAATTATCCTTGAATTGTTTATGCTGGATTAACTTAGTAAGCTTATGTTTGGTTATCGTTCAATTCAGATTTTTGGTTTTATTAAATAAACCTGTCTAGAATATTTGATCTCAAGGTAAGTTTTCTTAGAACAAAGCGCAGAGTTCTATGAGATATGAGTTTAAGTACTTCTTGAGCCAACCCGATTCGATAATTGTTGAGCTATGGAAACCTAACTTGGGTTATGTCTCGTTATGTGCTTTACCATTTTTCTGCTAATGTATGATTTTCACGAGAAGGGGTGCTTTTAAATGGACCGTTTTTGAGCATATTTTTAACTTTGGAGGGTCGAAGTAGGAGCAGCTTGGGGTTGAGGCATAGTGATTGATTGCGGAGGGGGGAAGTGGGCTATGTTGACTATCTTTCTGACTGAGAAAACCGACTGATCAGCCGTTAAATTAGATGAAATTATACGAAGTACGCAGTCTTTCTTTGTAAAATAGAAAAGAAAAAGGGAGATAGAAAGAAAAAGATAGGATATTGCGAGATCATGCTGAGGCAGGATTCTTCCCGAGAAAGCAGAGTAGTTTCATTGGAATGAAAGACTTTCTGGCTTCTACTGTTAAAGCTGCAATATCATGTTTGTTTAGTGTTTACTGCTGCTATTGTAGTGTGCTTTTTTGGAAGATCAAAAGGAATGAGATTGCCTCGTGTACCTCAAAGATCATTTTCTTTAGCGCCAAAAGCACCACTGGTTCTCTTCTTCATGCTACTCTGACTCTTTTAGACCATTCTTGTCTCCCAATTACATTTTTTATTTTCACTTCCAATTTTATGAGTCTAGCAGATTAGTCATGCTTATTTTCTGCACCCTGTATCCGTGCATGTGCCAAACTAGTCAAATCATAAGATTTTATAGTGTGTGCTTCTGTGTTTTATCTGCTGCCTCAGGATGACATGGAGATCTGTTTTCTCTGGGTAAGATGGTAGCCACTCTCTTCTGAGTATTCCAAAATGACAAATCAAATATTAAAATCAATGAGAATTTCACTGCTTTTCTATCTTGCACTCCATCATAGTGGATGATGAAGAATCTGAAACAGGTATGTTTAATATTAAGACGATTTTGCTTGTGGATCGTTGGAATTTTCTTGGGCTCTCAATATCTCTCTTTGGACCTGTTTTATTTTTATTTAAATTCTAGCTTATGCTGGCAGGATGGGTGGATTCTTTACGAAATAAAATGCACCTACTGACTATGCATTTGGTTCAAGTAATAAGATCAAAGCCTGGAGGAAAAATTGAGAAAATATGTTTGATTATATTGTATCTCGAATGAGAAAGAATATAAAGATGTGTTTGCACGTATCTATACATTTTTCGAGAAACTCCTTTGGAGATGTGGAAAGAGTCTTTTGCATTTTCTTTTCCTAGTGCATATGCATGTTCATTGGGACATGGTGTTGGTGTTCACATGCTCGGATAAGTAGAAGCAAGTTTGCTAAAGAAGGATGCTTCTTTTCAAGAAATTTAACTGGCTCCTGCATTTCGTATCCAAAAGAAATTCTTGTTATAAAGGAAAATCCTCTTTTCAATGTAGCTTTTTCTCCAAATGTGCCTGCTGTCATTTTCTCTTGCATTTTTACCCGTCTTCATATGCTTCAGTTTTACTACTTGCCACGTTTATCTTGATTTTAAGCAGGGGCGGCCCAAGAAGATTGGTGGCCTAAAGCCAAATTTTAATTTGGGGCCTTTTAGAAGGAAAAAAAAATTTATCTATATTTTTAATGGAAGTCTATTTTTCTATCTTTTTAAGATGTAAAGTTGTTAATAGTTTTTTTTATAAATAATTTAATCTCTCCTAAGATATTGTTGATCTTAGATAATAGAACCAGATTCAAGAAGTTTATAACTTGATATCGAAATAATTTTTGATGTTATATACTTATTGAAATGCTTGAAACCTGAGGGGGAAAAAAAAAAGAATACGCAATATAGTTTTATTCAACGGTACTCTTCAATTCTTGTTTTTTATAGAAAAAATAATTATTTTTTTTTACAGAGAACAATATAACTTATCAAGAACTTAAGCTTTTTTGTAGAAACCAAGAAGAGAATATAAGTATATAGTACCCGTTTTCTTATGAGAAAAATAAAAATAAAACTCGGATTATTGAAGATACCAAAAAACGGATTCTGAAAGTTTATTGCACGTTTTTAGTGAGAAATGTAAAAGGAAAATAATAATATAGGTACCTCACTAATGATGTCAATCGTAAAATTTAAATAATGAAAAGTTTTATATTCGCGACAAGGGTTTAGGGGGAGTGATTCACTTTCTCCAATTTTTGCTTAAACAGTTACATCAATACTAAATTAAAAGTTATATTTACTTTTTATAAAATATTTTATTTTTTTTATTTTAACATACTCAATATATTTAGACCTTACCTCTAAAGATTGTTGTGAGATATATATGATCCAACTTATCTTATATTGGGTTCGAGTCTTGTGGTTAAAATAAATCCTGTTAAAATGTGTTCTCTCTTTTACTAGGCCTTACGCGGTACGAATCTAGACTAGTCGGGGGTTCAATACAAATACGAGTAGAAAACAAAAAGAAAAATTTGGGGCCCTCCAAATTTGGGGGCCTAAAGCCTTTGCTTTAGTGGCTTGACCCTTGGGCCGCCCCTGATTTTAAGTAAACCTGTCTAACTCTGATCTCCTTTTCCAATCCCATATACCACGTAATTTGGAACTCAGTCTATTGAGTTTTTCAAATGTGGTGACGTTTTTACTACATGTGAAATTTCCCCTCCCAAATTGGATACTTTAAAAGAAGGTTGCAACTGATTTAGAAAGAAACCGTTTTCTTTATTTACTTCTTGTCAACATCATCGCCATGCTGGTTTCAATTCCATGTTTCAGATGGAGGCAGTTTCTCTTAACAGTGACCCAGTGTTTGATGACTCTGAAGAATATGAGGACGAAGAAGACTGCTCCGTGGAGGAACATGATGATGGAGTTCATGATAAAGATTCCAAAAAGGAGTCCCCACAACCAACTATTGGTCTGGAATTTGGGTCTTTTGATGAAGCATATGATTTTTATAACATGTATGGCAAGGAACAAGGATTTGGTATTAGAGTGAGCAACTCTTGGTTTAGATCAAAGAGGAAAGAAAGATATAGAGCGAAACTCAGCTGCAGTAGTGCAGGTTTCAAGAAGAAAAGTGGAGCAAATCATCCTAGGCCAGAAACAAGAACTGGTTGTCCTGCAATGCTAGTAATTAAGCTTGTGGACTCAAAAAGATGGAGAATTGTGGAAGTTGAGCTTCATCACAATCATCCAGTAAGCCCAGAGGTCAGGCGGTTCTATAAGTCACATAAGAAAATGATTCTCGCTGACAAAAAGCAGCAGGAATCCATACCTATTACAGAAGTACATACCATTAAGTTATACCGCACATCTATTGATGCTGCATGTAATGGATTGCAAAATATCAAGGAAAAGGATAGTAGGTTTCCTGTTGATACCTCAAAGCATTTGGAGCTTAGAGAGGGGGATGCCAATGCACTGTATAATTATTTTTGTCGAATGAAGTTGACAAATCCAAACTTCTTTTATCTGTTGGATCTTGATGATCAAGGATGCCTGAGAAATGTGTTCTGGGCTGATGCTAGGTGTAGGGCTGCTTTTAATTATTTCTCAGATGCAATTGCAATTGATACAACAAGCTTGAGGAACAAATATGAACTTCCTCTTATTTCTTTCGTTGGAGTAAACAACCACGGACAACCTGTTTTGCTGGGATGTGGTTTTCTTGGATACGAGTCAGTAGAGTACTTTATTTGGATGTTCAAATCATGGCATACGTCTATGCTAGGAAGACATCCACAAGTTATTGTAACTGATCAGTCAAAACCATTGCAAATTGCAGTTTCTAAGGTTTTCCCTCAAGCCCGTCATTGTTATTGTCTATCTTATATCATGCAGCGTGTTCCAGAGAAGTTGGGAGGATTGGATGGATACGAGTCTATCAAGACGCAACTGTATAAAGCAGTTTATATTTCCTTGAAGATCACTGAGTTTGAAAGCTCGTGGTGTCATATGATAAGTCAGCATGGACTCAAGGACAATAAATGGCTTCAATCATTGTACGAAGATCGTGAAAAATGGGTACCAGTCTACTTAAAAGACATTTCCTTCATGGGGATCGTGCCAATAAAAGAAAATGAGAGCTTGAATGCATACTTTGATGGTTATGTAAATAAACACACTTCATTCAAAGAATTTGTTGATAAGTATGATTTAGCCCTGCAAAGGAAGCACATGAAAGAAGCAATGGCAGATATGGAGTCGAGAAGTTCAAGCTTTGAGTTGAAAACAAATTGCAATTTTGAGGTGCAGCTCTCAAAGATATTCACAAAGGAAATATTCAAGAAGTTCCAAGCAGAAGTTGAAGGAATTTACTCTTGTTTCAATACAAGGCAAGTGAACATTAATGGGCCAATAATGACATTTGTTGTGAAAGAAAGAGTAGAATCTGAGGGAAGCGAGGAGGAGGTAAAGCTGTTTGAGGTTCTTTATGAGACAACACAAGCGGAAATACGTTGTATTTGCAGTTTGTTTAATTTCAAAGGTTATTTATGCAGGCATGCATTGAATGTACTGAATTATAATGGTGTGGAAGAAATTCCATCACAATACATCCTACCGCGTTGGGATAAAGATTACAAACGTAAGTTTCCAGTAGATTCTGGCCTTTGTCATATTGATGTGAATAATCCTGTGGAATTGTATAATATTCTACATAAACATGTCATGCAAGTTGTTGAAGAAGGGGCACAATCCGAAGAACATTACAAGGCTGTACTCCGAGAAGTAGAAGCTCTTTTGAGCAGGTTTTCCCTTGAAGACAACAATTTGGTTTCACTGTAATATTTGACATAGGACATCCAATACAGAATTATAGTGCATCTGTGTACATAATATATACATTACATGTCCTGATCATGAGCTTTGCCCCTTTATACATACTCAAGAATGAAATTGAGGTATTTTGAAATTGCAGAATTATCTGTTATACGGGCAGGGGAAGGCCAGATTAAATGGGTAGAGTTTTTGCATGACATTTTTGTATATTTCCTCTATAAACAAAGACGAATGACAGGTAATATTTCGCGAATACCCTTTACAGGCGAGTCGAATGTTTTCTGGAAGCAGAGTAATAGATGTATACCATCATCAATATTTGCGACGTCTTAGATATGAAGAAAACGACATAGTTGGTTATTCAATCCCTTAAAATTATGTTGAGACTTTTAAGTCAAATAACTTGTTTAGGATTAAAGATGAAGGTAAATCTTTTATCTCTTTGTCAAACTTTTACCACTTATACTACTAGAAAATTGTCGTTTATGTATTCAAATAGAGTATACATCTTGAAAGTGTTGTTATACTCTACCATGCGTGGAAGGAAAATAAAAAATGAGATACTTCATCATAGTTCACAAGACTTCTCAAAAATGAAACAAAATAAGAAGAAAAAAAGGTAGCTAAATTTTTATTGACCTAATATATAAGCAAGAAGGATATTGAAAAAAGAAATTTGCTTATTTTGTGGCTACAAATAGAGAATTATGTCCTACTGTGGGATCTTAAACGACTCTCCTACATCAGCAGACTGAGATTCATCTTTGATTTGTCAACCACTGGAAAGGGCAAGGGCTTGAAAAACAGTTTGCAAAAAATTGAATTACTTGTCCTAAAAAAGTTTTGAAATATTCTTTAACAAACGCCACCTGACAACCTTCCTTGGCCTTGTATAAGTAAATACGTATAGACATAGAGCAAGCAACAGAACATATTTCTCCAAAGATTGCATATTAGAATAAGATCAAGATGTATTTCAACACAGATATCAAGCCAAGATTCAATCATGTATTATTTGACCCCTTCATTTTCTTTACAGGAGCCGAAATGATAAAAATCACTATACATTCTCAAGCCGAGAGTTTTAGCTTGCTTATAAGCTTAAGAAATTCAAGAATTAATATAGATGCCACATTTCAAGCATGAGACCATACCAAAAGACGCATCTAAGCTTTACCTCCAGATGAATTAAGATCAACGATTTTGCACATTGGTGGACTACAATAAAATGTTCCAGGACAAAACAGTTGATGTAACACTGATCGAGTAATCCTCATTTCAAACAAGTTGGAAGTGTAAGCCCATGACAAACGAAGGCCAAAATAACATAAACTATCACAAGGAGGAGGAATATCAGCGCCACCCTGTAAAAATCAAACATCACAATGAAGCATGGTGAAAAAGATTAAACAATAAAACATAAAAAGAAAAAGAAAATAACATGAAGCTGGCGAGTCCTTTAATTTAATCAAGCTAGAACCACCATCAGGTACAAAGTAAAAATATTTTGAGAGAATGAGTATAGCATAAAACTATGAAATATTCTGTATACATGGTTCCACTGTTAGAATCTTCACAACATTCACACTGTTTAAGAACACTTCATCATAAGGAGAAAGGACAGGAGCCATGAAAAATATGATGACAAGTGGCTCTTATTTAATTGCAATGTGAAAGAATAATTGTGTCACCAACTCCAAACTCAACCCAGAATACAGGCATATTAAAACATCGTGAAACTTATAATAAGGAAAAGAGCACAACAGCTTCCCTGATGCCATATAACTTACAATTATAAGAGATCTTCACATGTAACAACCTAAGAGTTTAAATCAGAGATTAAATGCCACCCAACAGAAGATATCTATTTATTATGAATCTATCCAACTCTTGAAAGAACACCACCCCAAAGTAAAGAGTAAAGACAAAACAAAGAAAGAGCTTTAGTCCAAGTAATGGAAGCAACATACGTGAGTTTGACATTTCTCCACCATACAGTGCTTCTGAAACGGCGTGCCTGCTTTCTGAAGCGGAAAGTATTCCCTTGCATATTAGCTGTTTTATCAACCAGCAACTCCAAACGATCACCTCTCTCTAGAACTTTATCAATATTCTCAATCATGACATTGCGCACCTGTTACATGGCACATACATCTTCAGACTTCTTAGTTAATACCAAAATATAGTGGGTGGTAACTTTATCCGAAAAACATAATGGCTGGTACATATGATCTAGTTTGTAAAAGCAGACAAGTGAAGCTGTAAAAATTGCTTTTACTCAGGGGCGGATCTATGTAGTAGATTTGGGGTGGAACGCCACCAGGTCGCTCGGATAAAATTTTAAGTATGTACTGGTATTTTACATTAACAAGAGTATATATTTGAAGCTTGGCACCCGAAGAAACAAATAGACTCCAGGTGCCATGGTTAAATTGCTAAAACTCTAAGTGAAGGATGCAAGATCGAATCCCATTAGATTCCACCAAAGCTAGTTTTCTAATCCGTGTTCTTACATGTTCCATTTTCTTTCTGCTCCTTTTCTCAATTTTTAAAAATTCCTTCATCTTTGTATTTCCTCTCTCTGTACAACCTGATTTTTATTATTTATTAAATTATATTTTTCCTTCCGTAATTTTCAAAATCTTCAAAAATTTATTTGAATGTGATTTTAGTTATTTTCTCCTTTTATCCATCTAATGTGATTTCCAAAATTTTCTAAAATGATTGCTCCAATAGACATAATACTGATCTAGCTATATGAAGATTGAAGGGGTGTATTTGCTATTTAAAAGTTTATATTTATTTTACGTTTTAATCACATTTTTAATAGAATTTGAATCGAGAGAATTAGATCGAATTGGACTAAACTTATTCAATTTGGTGGTCGTATATTTTTTTATGCGCCAAAAATCTTGTAAAATAAAAATGAATTGATTTAAAGTAACCAACCGAACCGAATCAATTCAAAACGGATCAAACCTACTAAATGTATACCCTAATCCAATCTCCTTCACTAATGGTAGACAATGGCACCCGTAGTCATCAAATCCTAGATCCGCCTCTGCTTTTAATCACCGCAAATAGTCAATACAATAAGAGCTTCATTAAATAAATGCATAAGGACTATTGATGATATCAAGGGAAACATGTTGCCATATTGATGAGGTAATTATGGAAATATTCAGTCGTGACATTCAGTGGCAAGAAATTACATCGAAAGGTGCATGCCTCTTAGATTGAGAAAATGTGGATTCTTGCACGAGCCATCATCTAGCATATAAGCTTCCTAAACAACATTGAGAACTGACCTGACTCATTTCACCTTTTAGCCTGTTTATTCTGTCGGCATTTGGATCACTAGAGAAATAGTCCATTTGCTGACTAAGGACCCTTGAGAATTCATCATTCATGCCATAAGCTTGTGCAGAGAGAACTGCTCGGCCATAGGTCCTCACAAATCTTTGATGAATTTCTTCAAGAAAAGCAAAAGGAATTCTCCCTGCAAAGGAGTTTATCCAAATATATGACAGTGTTCAAGGCAACAGATCAATAATGTAAAATGAAATTTTGTGGTGTTAATATAAGAGCTAAACCACCAGCTAAAATGTTCGAACTAAATAAAAGGAGAAATCAACACACATCTATCTATAAATCTTGTTCTTTTTGAAAAGAATAAATTAAGAAAAGGAACTTACAGGGTGTACTACTTGATACAAAACCAGGGAAGGAATTTCAATGTAAAAAATATTGAAGAAAGGGATTAGAATAAATGTCCACAAAAACAGAACTAAAGTATAAGAATTTTGTAAGAAGAGCAAAATACGCTGCAGGACATTATTCAGTTAGATTTCTGTAACTAAAAACCACAAGGCTGCGAAGACTACACTCACTTAAAATTTTGTTTTTCTATGATTAATAAAATGGATTTAAAGCTAAGGAATGAGTCCCAGTGAGAGGAGTCCTTTTTCCAATATACCCTCTCACCCACTCACTGAAGTATAGTTATCCTAAGATAACTGCATGAATTCCATGCTAACTTAGCCCGACTTGCTACTGGTGACGGTATTGCACATCAACAATATCACTCCAATCTTTTTGTGTTCAAGCTTAGAATGACATTTGGGATTAGCTGCATAGACAATGAAGCACATATGGGTATCAAATGATCTTTGAAGCCCCACTTTTTCCAAATAGTATAGGTAGCAGATCCTAGTAAGCATGGAATCTTGTTAAGGTAATTTTGCACAAAATTTAAAATCAGGAAAAGGTACAAGTCAGGGTAGAAGTATCTCATTACCTTCTCCTATTCATTAAGGGAAAAATTTACTAGCTACCACTGCAGCGGGACAAAAATTGTTTATCCCCATTCCCTGTTTCTATCTATAGAGACATGTTGCCATGCCTAAAAGTAAGCCACATTATGTCAGAAACTATGAAGTAGGTTCCATATTATGAAATTTGCAAGGATGACAAGCACAACTTATACAAAGGTAACTAGAAGCAAAACTACAACAACAACAACAACAACAACCATGCCTCAATCCCAATTAAGTTGAGGTCGGCTATATGAATCCTCACTGACCATGTTGCTCCATTTAAGCTCACCTCAGCCAAAAGCGGAACTAAATAAGATATTTCTCTATGAAGTGTTCTCTGATACTATACAACAATATCAATAAATCGAGCAATCGACTGTATTTAGGGTCCGTAATACGAGTTATATGTCCACTCTATGCAATTCATGCTTGTTTCATTCTAACACTAGAAAAAAAATTAGTCTTTCTGACACTATATATTGAAGAGAATGAACATTTTTCTCAATTAGATGAATGATAGGGAAAAATATACTTCCTCCATTTCAATTTTGATGAGGTAGTTTGACTCACCACGGAGTTTAAGAAAAGAAAAAAGATTTGAAACTTGTGGTCTTAAAAGCATAAGGGGTAAAAGCTTTATGGGGCCATGACATTTGTGTAGGTATAAAAGCTTCTCATTAAAGGTAAAATAGGTAAAATGAAGAGTTTAACGTTAAATTATCTCCAATTGTAAAAATGTTTCATTCTTTTTGGAACGGACCAATAAGTAAAGTGTGTCATCTAAATAGAAACAGAGGGAGCAAGCACTTCAACTCTGCACCACAATCATAAACAGAGCGTAAAACATGAAAGTCTGACCTATTTTATCATATAAACTACACTAACTTTATCATATAAACTACTAAACAAACACTTGAAAGACTGCTATATGTATATGTATATCGATTAATTATTCGTCTAGAATCTCAGCTATATCTTGATTAATTGTGAAGTGTAAATAACTTATAAGATGAATAAACATTAAGATGAATTGAAACAAATTCTAACATGTAATTGCATCAATCCTCTTAACTTTCAACATGAACAAACTTAAACAGAAAAGGCAAGGAGCTTACTTCCAGCAACATCATCGGCCATACAAAGGACAGTGAGTCCATCAGTGCGTTTAACATGGAAAATATACCGATCCTGAGAATATGACACGTTTGAATCATTATTCCCTGGAATTTTCTCCAGAATCTGCCTTGCTATTGTGCTCGCATTCGTCGTCGTTCCGCTCTGCTCCGCCAACACTACAGATCCCCTCGCTACCAATGCGTAGAGTATCGCCATTTCTTTCTCTCCCTCTGCACCTTTCTTCCTCTGAATTATACACAATTATGTAAAAATTACTATATATTTATGATGTATTTATCTGTAAAATTTGGATGCGTATATGTATATGTATATGTATTAGATTATGCATCTTGTAATTCAAATCCTAGATCTGCCGCTGAGTCTACATGTGTATATGTAGCCTATATATTTATCTATCTGTAAATTATGAAATTATATGTATCAGGACACATTAATTTCGATTCCTGAATCCGTCTCTAATGTCTATATATGTGTATGTTTGAATATGAACAGGAGCAGAATTTAGGGTTTGTTTTTGCTGAATTTACAGGTGAATTGAATTTGAATGATGTTGTAGTTTACCTTTTTTTGGGGAGGAAGAAGGTGATGAAAGCGGGATCTGAGGCGTTGGATGGACCCACGCTTTATCTTTTCGAGCTGTTAACTAACTTTAATACGAGGACATCATGGTTTGTTAGTTTTGAGGTATTTCTGTAAATAAAATAATTGCTTTATCCTTTTTTTTTTTTTTAAAAAAAAATTGACTAGTGTGCATTTGCATAATATTTTAGTTGAAGTTAAAAAAGATAATTTTGAAGCTAAAATTGAAAAAACGTTCTCAAAGTTCAAGTTTTTGGTTGGATTGGGCATGTTTTCACAAAGAGAGAAATTACGAGCTTATAGTTAAAATTTGTTAGTCTTACTTACTAGTGTCTTTTGTTAAACAAACTAAGCAGGTTTTAAAATTTATATTATGTATTTAGAGTTTCCGCATATTTAACTAGAAAAATGATGATGTTATTTCGCCATCAATTTTAAAAGGAATGTTTTAAGAAATTTTAACCACAAAATACTTGTAATGAGTCATGACACCGATATTCTCAAGAACAGAGGCGGATCCAGAATTTAAGCGCAACGGGAACATCATTGTATGCTAATTGCTAGCAATAAAAATTGTTGTGCAACACTTTGAAATCATAATAAGTATGATGACCAATCATTCAAGTATAAAAAAGAAGTTCTAAAGAAAGAGAAAGCACCGAAAGGATGGAAAGATTTTTTTTTTATACTTTTTTTTTTTTTTGCCAAAATGGATGCTACGAGAAGGGAAAGATTTTTTTTTTTTTTTGGCAAGGAAGATAAATGTTTATTCATTACTAAGTAGCATAGTTACATGGCCTGGTCCTCCCATTGGGAGCAGACGAAGGCATACCATTAGAAGTAGCATTACAACCAAAAGAGGACATTACAGGGTTGCCCAGCATAGCCAAATTATTTAACACAACAGTATTACTGGTGGTAGTCCTAGTAACAGTGATTCCTTCTTTATCAGCCCGCACAGCTTCTTTAAGGTAGTTAGGTACTTCTAAATATGTCTTCTAATGTACTTTTTTTTCTTCTATTGTACTTGATTCATGACTAATTATGTGTTTCTGTTTTAGGTCCTCTATGTCCCCAACCCCTACTCCCCTATTTGTAACTGCTGAAGCATGTACTCCTCCCTGAACTTGTTCTGTGGTTGTACCTCAGTGTTGTCAAAGGCACGCTTAAGCCCTAAAGCGAGGCGCAAAACATGCTGAGCGCTTTGCGTCGCTTAGCGGGTGCTTCAGTGTCGTCATCAAGGCTCTAAGACATACCTTTCCTTGCCAATGAGCATAATCCTGAAGATGCGATACTAAACAATTGATATTTCACTTTATTGAAATTTTTTTTAATTTCTTTGTCCATATATTTGTTGTTCATACTTATAATTATTAGTCTTGGACTACACATACATATTTGTATTTTTTTTTTATTCATTTGTGTCTTTCTTCATTAAAACCCATGCTTTATTTACGCTTTGCGCTTAAAGCTCCAATGGACCTTAGAGCTCTTTCAGCACTTTTCACCTTTGATAAAACTGAATTTGTCAGACTACTGAAAGTTGGAGGAAAAAAAACTTCTCAAGCCAAACTATTTCTATAGCATACTGGTACCTGCCACTCCCTTCGTGGAAAAAATATAGGCAATTCAAGATGGCTATTATTTTAACCCTGTAAGAACGCATAATCTTAATTGGTAAAGCCCGTGCAAAAATTTTGACAATGGTAGAAAATGGCACATGCTAAGCTTAGGATTTAAGTAAACAAATCAACTCTTGTACTCCACAGTCCACACATGCAAATCTTAGCATTCTTGTCTTTAGTTCAGTAAATTTCCTCTAGCATCTATTTCACAAGTATGCACCAACATTATACTTGGACATTAAAGTACAGAAGAGGATCCAAGTTCTTTTTTTTCCCGACTCTCATGGTAAGATTGGAAGGTTAATGAATCCATAGTGTACTAAATATCCTAAATCTTGCAAGGAGAAAGCCAAGCTATAAATGATATTTAGTTGGACGGAAGACAAACTTTTCCACCGTGCAGTGCCTGATAAATTTGTATTCCTCTGTTTTGCTTAGCTAATAACGGAAACAAACTCATATTCTTCCTGTGAGATATCACATACACCTCTTCTGACCTATCAAAATATGCTATAAGATCCACTCCTCCTGGTGAAGAACCTTACCAAAGTGACGTGGCTTGGTGGTTTTATTCGTTTACAATATTCAAACAATAAGGGCAGCAATACTCAAAAGAAAGTGAAAGGGAATTCATATAATCACAACAAGTCTCTATATCAAGCTTCTTTCAGGGTCCTAGTGCCAGCACGCAGTGTGATTTGACAGGTGAGCAATTACCTTCAATAACCCTAGATACTACGGTGAAAAATTGCTCCATCTCCAAAAGTTTAGCAAATTAGGAAGTTATTAAAATCCAATGGTCACAATTGTCCATGGGGAAATGCAACTCACTTTTTTCCAAAATTAGTCAAGTCTTGACAGAATTTAACTCTAACTCATAGTCTATCTTTTCTTGTTCAAAATCATTATTTACCAGCAAAAAAGTATTTTGGTACTTAAAAGTGCATGTAAATGTTCCAGCTAGTAATGAACTGATATAAAAAAAAATCTTCACAAGCACATTGTATGATGATTACCTGCGTGCATTGGCACAACATGGATTCGATTTGCACTGCCATAATGCTTAACGACACCACGACCCTGCAATATCTGCGGAGGACTGATCACATACGAACCACTCCCACTGCCTTCTCCTCTTTCCTCAGTCAACAAAGCTGGACTATCTGCAGGTACAGCTGAAAGCGCCTGAAGCTGCCCATACGACATATTCTCCAACACCACCCCATTCTGCCTAGTCTCTCCAGACTGCCCAGCCTTCTCAGTCGCTACAATATTCAGGACGGACGAATGAGGCCGCGTAACAGTACGTCTCACTACCAAAGGGAACTCACTAATTCGGTTCCCAGCTTCTGATACCAATTCAACTGAGTAATTACTCCGATCCACTGAATTGCTAGGGTTTCGGTGGTCGTCATCTTCAATTTCCTGCTGGTCAATGTCTTCCTCGTCTTCTTCTTCTTCGAACACGTCATCATCTTGTTGGGGCTTGGCCTTCCTTGAAATTAAAGGCTCCCGCTTCCGCTTCCTCCATCTATTCCTCGTCTCTAAAAAATTAACAACTAATCACTAGTCAATTTGTAATACTCGGATCCGTTAAATAACTAATTATAGTACATAAATCAACCATTTTTAAATCAAATTTATAAAATGCTTTAAAATAAAAACTAAAATTATAGAAATATAAAAGAAATGGGGGTTTATGTGAGCACCTGAGGAGGAAGCAGGCATTGCTGAGAAATTGGGGGGTTTGGGTCCTGAGAAATTGGGGTTTAAAGGGAGAGAATTGTGGGGTCTGAGATTGGTTGTTGTTTTTGGAGAGAGAAAATTGGGGGAAAAGGGATTCTTCTCTCTGCTGCCTTCGGATGATAATTTGTGAGCTCTTTTTGGTATTTCGCAGCTGTGTTTCCACAAAAATATACTATTTGTTTTAGGCAATACCTTTGCTGTGTGAATTCACGCGCTTCAATCAGAGACTGAAGTAAAAAGATGTAACGTAAAGGTGATTGTTTTTCCTTTTTTTCTTTTTCGATGATTGATAACCAAATAGACACCCGTATTTGTATGTAATTCTGTTTTCTACCCTCAGAAAAGAGACAAACGACTATATTTTCTCCCTTGTGAATTTTCATATCTCTTCTAAATATTTAATTTATTAATTATTTTGACCTATAATATTTTTATATGACTTTTAATTTGTAAATTTTATTTCAAGGAATTTAAAAAATTTAAAAATTCAACTCTCGAAATTCAAGTTGTATTACATAAATAAATTAAGACGTTAATATCTTAATCGGCTGAGTGAAACGAGTTCTAAATAGTTAAAATAATAAATAACATGTAAGTAAAACAATACTCCATTGATTATAATAATCTTATAGATTGGTTAAGCTAATTCGAAAATTATTTATAACTGCGTCATTATTAGTTAATATAAAGGGAGTTTTATAGCAATACCTGTAAAAAATCAAACTAACTAACCTTGCCTATCCATTTATTTTTCTACCCATCAAACTAATTGTACTTCATACACATTATAGTTTTTGTGGGTAATTGCCTCTTTTTCTCCTTTCTTTTTTCTCGTTTTTCTTTGTTTTTTGCTTTTTTCTCCTTTTATGTTTATTTTTCAATCATATTATTTTTTATTTTCGTTTTCCACCATGATTCCATGCTCAATTTTGGCTTCTTCTTTTTTCCTTTTGTTTATTTCTTTATTTCTTATTCCTTTTCTAATTTTATTTAAGTCTTTTTTCCTTTCATTTCCTTTTTCTGCATAATCTAAGTTTATTCACTTTTTTTAATTTTTTTCTTTGTTCTTCTTCTTTTTTTTTTACTGTGCAATAATAAAAAGATAACTAACATAGTTACTATTTGTTCGCCTTTTTTATACAACTGATATAATATATCTTTGACTTACTTTTTCTCATTTTCTTTTTCTGTAGATCAGTTATAAAAACAACTTTTACATTATACATGTTTTCTCTTCTCTTTTTTCCTTTTTTTTTCTTTTTCTTTCTTCTTTTCTAATTTCATTTATTATTATTTTAAATTTATTTTTTCTTTTAAATTTTTTTCATAATGTAATTATGCACATCTTTTTTGCTCCTTTATTTTTTTTTTCTCTTTTCCTTCACTATATCACCGAAAGATAACTAATATAGTATTTTTTTTATTTTTTTATTAATTATTAAAAAATAACTTATTGTAACATATAATACACCAAAAACAATATAGTATCTTTTCCTTCACTATTATTGTAATATACTATGATACCATATGGTATATATCATATACCGACAGTGTAACAAATAGGACTAGTCATTTCTTCTATGATACCCACATGGTATATATCATGTACTAACATAAGAGGCCGTGTTCATTCCTTCCAGAAACACACTCAGTCCTCTATGATACTCATATGGTATATATCATATACTGATAGGGTATATATAGAGGTCTGGTTCATTTCTTTCAGAAAGACACACAATCCTCTATGATACAAACGTGGTGTATGTCATATAGTGGCATGGTATTATAAAGGACTGGCTCATTCTTTCAAAAGAAAATCAGTAGTCCTCTATGATACTCATATGGTATATATCATATACGGTCAAGGTATCATACATTGCTAGTTCATTCTTTCAAGAAAATTAGGAGTATATTGTTAAAATTTAATTATATACTTCTAAATTCATTATTATATACCAATATAACATATAGTATAACATGTTGGTATACAATACAACTTTCTCTTCTTTGCTAGTTCTATTTAATTTTGGCCTAAATTCCAAAAATTTCCCCCAAAATTTACTCAAAATTTAGCCATAGCCTTCAATCAAAATTTCAAACACGACTCAGCAAAAATCGAATCAAAACAACTATAAAGTGAGGTTTTCCCTATTATTTTTATGGAACTTCTTCAAAAAAATTATTTAATAAAACATTTGCAATGACCTAGTTGGAAAAAATTTTAAAATTAAAAAGTAACTTATTTATTATTGTATGTGTTATATTATATTGTGTATTATAACATTATAATGTTACTATAACCATGACTTTAGATTTGCACAATATCACCTAGATGATTCACCAAAATATGAGTCGAATTACATTATTATGGTATACTGTATACTATTACATCATACTATTGTAATATATTGCATATTATTACAATATACCATCACAGCATACTGTATACTATAACAGTATACTGTTACACTCTCTCTCTCTCTCTCTCTCTCTCTCTCTCTCTCTCTCTCTCTATATATATATATATATATATATATATACACACACACACACACACACACACACACACATACCATAACGGTATATTGTTAGGTAATTGTGTTCTTCTTTGATACTGCCATTGTAGTATATTCTATACTATAACAGTATACTGTTGTAGTATCGCTATATACTCCTACAACATATTGTATACCGTAGCAGTATACTGTCGGGTAACTATATTTTTCTTCGATTTTCAAGTGAAAAATTCAATCTCAATCACCTCAAATCAACTCCCAATGCGATCAAATTTCAGTATGAACTTCCAGAAGGTATAAGTAATATTTAATAATTTGAATCAAACAAGAAATCTTCAAAATAAAAATCTTAAATTCAAGAGCTTCAAGCCCAACAATGGTGGATATTCAACTACGCATAAAAATTCAGATGCGGAAAAGCTTACTCGAAGTTACTATAAGCAATATACACTCACTTCAAATCTAATATTAAAACCTTCAAGTTTCAAGTTGAAATCATTAATTTGGAATTTTGGAAAAAAACTCTAAGAAAATTTGTAAAATTTTAATTTCAACCAAAAACACGAAGTGCAAAATTCGAGCTGCGATTTTGACAAAAAAATAATGAGATTATATGAAAAATAACGGGGTTAACTGAATTTCATAGTTTATTAAAAGATAAAGCTATGGGATTTTGCACTTCAAAGAAAAAAGAGAATGTTTTACACTAGAATAAGCTAGAGCTGAGAAAACAAATCAAAAAACGAGAGGAAATAAGTAGGCTGGGTAAAATATTTCTGCCGAATAGATAATTTTGTAATAAATTTTCATATAAATAATTACGAGTAATTATTTTGGGTTATGTGGGCATTTAGTATAATTTTCCCTTATCTAAACTGAAACTATGCATATTCACATGGTCCATTCGAAACAGACAATGTTAGCCACCATGGTTAGAGCGCTCACGTTGCATGTGCGTGAATTCCTAGGACTCCACTCAGCTAGCATCGCCTCACAGCCATAATTTTGTGGGACCCTTTTCACGTGGACTCTCAAAGTTTAATTTCATAAACTAATACTTTCAGCATATTCAATACTCAAGAGCCCAGTAGTATTTATTATATTTTTAATGAATAAATTCAAAATTAAAATAATCAATTTTATTATTAATTAATGCTAAAAAATAGATTTTTTAGTATATGTAAAAATAGCTAAAAAGTTAATTGAAGTGGACCGGATGGAGTACATTACAAAAATTTAGTATTTTATAATGAGGTTTGATTGCATACAAAATTTAAGAATGTTTTTTTTTTTGGTCAAACAATAAAATTTTATTTAACCAAGTATGAATATGTACATCCACTAGTTTATTTTTGACTCTAGAACTAGTCCTTGTCTTTGTAACTTTCTATGGACATTCCTCCTATCAGTTGGATTTTCTATTACAATATATACCTGTACTAAGTTTGGGTATGAGTTTGCATTTTTTAATATCCTTTTCCATCTGCTTCTATGTTGTCCTTTACTATGCAATTGGATAACAATCTCTCTTGATCTAAGTCTCTGATCTTGTTGTTGTTCTTGGAATCTTCTGGCATTGCGCTCATTCCAAATATGATAGACACTCGCGGCTAGCAGCCATCCTAAGACCTCTGCATGAGCTTTGCTGCTGCACTTTTTGGTTGTTATCCTTTCAACTTCCTCTTCCCAGCTTCCTACTTGACTGTTTTCTCCAATCCTGCGTAAGAAGGAGCTCCATAGTTGTCTTGAGTATTCACATTCAAAAAACAGGTGTGAGTGTGTTTCTTCAGCATCAGACACACATAATACACAGTTCCTAAGAACTTGTATTCCCCATTTGGCCAATCTATCAGCTGTGGTGAGTCTCTTCTGTAGTGTAAGCCATAGGATAAACTGGTACTTTGGCACATGACATGGTCTCATATTAAGGCTCTTCCACGCAACTTTAGGATATTGAGGAATCAGATGCAAGTATGCCTTCTTGATTATGAACTTATAAGCTTGAGTGAACTGCTGCATATCTGTGTAAAGGTCACTGTGTCCATACCACTTCCTTGCATCAAAAAATTTCCTAACAAGCCAACATGTTAGTTTAGGTGTCTCCATCTCATTGATGTTTCTTCTCTTTATGTAAAAGCTGTGAATCCATTGTACCCATAGAGTATCTTTCTTTGATGTGATAGCCTAAAGTAGTTTGGATATGGCTGCTTTATTTCATGTTTGGAACTCGATTATGTTCAAACCCCCAGCTGATTTTGGCATACACAGCCTCTCCCATGCCACTAATGCTCTTCTTGATGTTGCACATTGTCCAGTCCACAAGAATGTTCTACAGGTACCTGTTATCAGTTGGATTACCTTTTTTGGTATCAAAACGACTTGTGATCAGTACGTTTGAATCTCGAACAAGACACTCTTGATTAACTGCACTCTGCCACTATATGAAAGAAATTTGGTAGTCCAACATCTAATCGTGGCAACCATTCTCTCCACCAGAGGCATGCATTGTTGAACAGTTATTTTCTTGGATGAAAGGGGAACACCAAGGTATTTGAAAGGTATCATACCAAGTGAAAAGTGCATTTCATACAGGATTTGATCTTTCAATTGTTGTTCTACCCCTGTTATATATAATGAGCTCTTTTCCATATTTGCTTTGAGGCCTGATACTGTTGAGAAATGTTCAAATGCCTTAAGCATCAGTTGAATGGACATTTGATCTGCTCTGCAACACATGATTAAGTCACCTGCAAAACAAATATGTATCAGTTTTATTTTTCTACACATTGGGTGATGGTTGAAGTTGGGGTTGTAGTTCAACTGTTTCAGAGATCTATTAAAGTACTCCATTGTCAGTACAAATAGGAATGGTGACATAGGATCTCCTTGTCGAAGCCCTTTTCTTTCTTGGAATTTAGGAGTGAGGCCTCCATTGAAGATGATAGAGTAGCTGACAGTCGAGATACACTCCATAATGATATTAACAAATTTTACTGGTATTCCAAACTCCAACAAGACCATTCTCAGGAAATCCCACTCGACAGTATCATATGCTTTCCTGATGTCTACTTTCACTAGACACCTGGGGAACATTCCTTTCCTATTATAAACTTGACTAATTCATGTGCCACAATGACATTATCCAAGATGTTCCTACATGCAAAAAAGCTGATAGCGATGGGCCCACAATTTTGTCCACCACTAGTTTAAGTTTGGCAGTGATCACCTTGGCTATCAGTTTATACAATGTTGTGCAGCATGCAATAGCCTAAATTCCTTGACATAGGTGGGGTTTGGAACTTTTTGCACCAAGGTAATAGTTGTGCAGTTGATCTCTTTGAGAATTTTACCAGTCTAAAAAAATTGCAATATAGCCTTACTAACATCTTCTCGCACTATGTCCCAACTTGCTTTGAAAAATTTAACAGGGAATCCATCTCCCCCTCCCCCCCCCCCGGGGGGAGGGGGTGGGGGAAGGGAGAGGGACTTTGTCAGCTGGGAAATCATTCAGAGCCTGAAGTATTTCCTCTTTTATCACTGGATTGATCAGACCTTGTTGATCCTCCTTATTAATGTAGTATCCATCCTTTGCTATGGTACTATCTAAGCATGGCATTTCACTGGCCTTAGCACCCAATAGATCTTGGAAGAACTTAATGAAGTCTTGTTGAACTTGTGCAGGATCAGTTAACATTACTCCCTGATCATTACATATGATGAGATATGACTCCTTGCTTGTCTAGTCTTCAGTTGTGCATGGAAATATCTGGTGTTCAAGTCCCCTTTTGCTAACCATACAACCATAGACTTCTGCCTCAGTACATCCTCATGTATGTTGGACCATTTTTCTAATTCCAGTATCTGTCCTCTCTCCTCTTATATCAAGTTGGAGTTTGTAGAGGTATGATTTCAACAGCTGCTGAGTGACTTGTAGCTTTTATCGAATGGCCTCTACTCTTTTCTCTAGGCTGGTGATGTTTTGTGTTAAGCTCAATAAGCTTGAGCTTTTTGCATACTCCATACATAGTGTATCTAGGAATTTTATGTTGCCATGTAGACCGGATTAGTTCCTTGAAAGCCTGTTCTTGAAGAAGGACAGTGAGTAGTCTGAATGGTCTTGGAACTACTTGCTTGACTCTCCCAGTGCTAACTATGATTGGGGTGTGATCTGAGCACCCTGGGTTGTGATAGACTGCTTCCAGATGGCCATAATTATCAAACCAATTAGCATTCCCAAATGCCCAATCGATGAGGCTGTGTATTCTGATCTGTGCATCTCTCTTGTTACTCTATGAGAATTGACATCCTGTTCTTTTAAGTTGCCCAAGGCCAATATCTTCATTGCATTCCTGAAAATCCTTGATTTCAGCTGGGTGTACTGGAACACCATTCTGCCTGTCATTTACTAAGAGTATGGTATTGAAGTCCCCTAACACAATCCAGGGATCAATTATGTTATAATTTAGTGCTCTCAGTCAATGCCAGAGGTCCTTCCTTTCATTTATGGTATTCAATCCATAAACAAACGTTATCTGACTAGCAAATGGAGACCCCTTATCTTTAACTAAGCAATGAACAAAATGTGGCCTAGATATTAATATTTGCACCTCTACATGTTGAGGCTTCCAACATACCCATATTCTACCATTTGGAGTTTGTGTATAATCAATAGCTACTTCCCATTCATTTCCCATTTTCTTCTTAACTTTCTCAGCCTTGTTGGCTTTAACTTTTGTGTCAAGACATCCTATTAGTGCTACCTTGTTTGTAAGCAGAAAGGTCTTGAGTTCTTTCTGCTTAAATGGCTTGTTAAACGCCCTTATGTTCCATGAATAGAAGATCATGGGGGGATATTCCTTGGAGGGCTAAGATCTTTTGTCACTTTTGAGGTGACTACCATTGGTTGAATTCTCAGAGCACTAAATTGATTCTGCCTTAATAGCCTTTCAATCTTCTCACTATCTTCATACAGCTGACTTTGTCCCTCCTGTTATGAGATGGTAGGTAACTTTTTCTTTACCCCTGCTCTTAGCATGTTGCACTTGCACCTGATATTCCATATCTTCCGACTGTGTTGTTGCATCTTGTGTAGTAGCTAATGTTCCTGCCTCCTTTGTTACAACTGGTTCAGCCTGTTGCCCAACAGCTATGGCTGGTTTGGGAGGTTCTTGAGGTGTTTTCACTCTCCAATCCATCTTCTGTTTCTTCTTGTTCAGTTGCTGCATCCCTTTATCATTTGTACTTCCTTCTTGTATTCGCCATTGCGATGTCCTATACTCAGGCAGCTCTAACAATATAAGGTCCTCCATTCATATTCAATGGTCTGCAATCTGTACTTGCCTCTTGGTAATTCAATTGGTATCTCCTCAGGAAGTGTGAGTAAGACATCCATCTCAATTAGTATGCGTGCACAAGACACTCTTTCACCATTAGCTGTAAGTTTATCTGTGCGAATAGGCTTCCCTAAGCAGCTAACTATCCTACCTAGGCTTCCTGGCGCCCAATATTGGATAGGCAAATTAGGGAATGTCACCCACACAGGGATAACCTGAAGAGGCTCCTTGCTCATCTGGAATTCTGGTTCCCATTGTTTGAGAACCATTGGTCTGTTGTTAAAAGTGTATGGTCCATTTTGAAGCAAGGTCTCCTTCTCTTCCTCAGAAGTAAATCGAAATATAAAATAGCCTTCGTTATGTAAGAATACCTGAGGAGTTGTGACAAAATTCCAAACTCCATATACAAATTTCAGCATTTCCTTGAAGGAAGGATTTCCCCTAATTACATAGCCTATTAATGCTGATTTCCATTTCTGGCACTGTTCTTCAACTTCTGTCTGGACTAATTGAACTGTCTTCACCCCGTCTTTCATAATCGGAGGAAAATAATCAAGCTTCAACCCTAATTGCTGAGATCTATTACCTTTGACAACTTTAGCCTCCGTAGGTTTTTCTGCTCTCGATACTGTAGAAAAGGTGAGTTTCCTTGCAGCTGAGGAGGTACTTTCATCTTGTCCTTCAGGAGTAGCAGTTTCAACCGATGGCATACCTTGCAATACCGTTGGAGCACTACCCATTCCTGTTAACCATTGACCAAATTGCCTTGGACCTAAGTCCCGGGGGACTCCGTTTGCTGGTGTAATTAGTCTAATAGGTTCTTCATGTGCCGTGGAAGGAGTTGACGTCGCCGGATTTTGCTTATTCCGTCGAGCCATAGGTGGAAGCGCACGTTAACAAGCCTTGACTAACATGCGTCTATTTTTCAACACCTTTTGAGTAAAATCAGACACAGTTCGATTTTTGAACACATAGATTTTATGAGAACCGGGTAAATTTCACTCTCTTATTCTCTCTCTCTTGTTTTTTTTTTCAATTTCTTTCCCTATTCTAAAAGCCGGTCAACATACAAACCAGATTAAATAAATGTACAAGTAGCACGTAAGATACATCAGGATGTGTTATTTTTATGTTAAGAATGTTTTTTTAACATAAATATTCTTTAAAAATGTATCGTTTTAATATAAACGTTATTTTTGTGATTTGTATATCTTTAAAATTACAATAAATAGTTAATATTAAATAATATCAAGTATAAAATAATATCATTCTTATGGAACACAACTATTTTTTTGGTGGTTTTCGAATTGTGACATATTGACGTTGAAATGATTCAAAATGGTGGACGCTATTTATCAGCAGTAATTTTATCTCAAAAAATTCCGGAACAAATACTGTAGTAACTCTTTCGTTTTCTTTGTCCTTAGCACGAATTGAACTTTTTGTTAAACTTTTCGAGATCAAGAAAGTAGACCTTTTTCTAGATTTGCTTAAACTCTTTTTGGATTTTAGTCCACTGTCCAAAAATCACCATGAAAGGTAAATGGAAAGCACCATTTTGCATGCTGTTGGTGTTGTACTCTCTGTTTCTATCCGCTTTGTTTCAGAGCTGCTACTCTGCCTTTCATCTGCCTCGTCCCATATGGAAGAAGCAGCTGCTTAAATCTGGTTCCTCTGTTGTTTTCCCTCTCGCTGGAAACGTATATCCTAAAGGGTATTCACTTCTTTCTTATGTATTTGGAATCTTGATTGTCAATGAGCCTTTTAAAGTTTTTTTACTTTGTTAAAGTTCACCAATTCTTGAAGGGTTTTCTTGGATCATTTTTTTCTTAAGAATTTGTGTATGTGTGGTGTAATTAGTACTGTGTTTGGTGATAAATAGTCAATCTGTTGATAGTTGATACTTACTATGTTCTGTGATAATATAAGGAGTATTGGCTGGTCAATCATACTTATATTGTTTGCTCATTGGGAAGAAATTGAAGAATAGTTTGAAGAAAAAAGGGGGAAATATATGAGAATTGGGGCCAATACAGTGAAAAGAAGGGATTTCTGATCTCAGACAGATGATCAGGCACAAATTCCTACTTTCTACTTTATAAGGGCAATAGAGTTCCTTCTGAATCTTAGCTTTATGCTAGATATTAAATAAAAGTACAAGCGCTGAAGGGAAAGTTGTGATTGATTTGAAGCTTCCAGGAGTTCTAAGTGATGGCAATTTGATGTGTTTACACGACCTAGTATTCATAAGGGGAGCCTTAGAGCAACGGTAAAGTTGCCTCCGTGTGACCTATAGGTCACAGGTTCGAGCCGCGGAAGCAGCCACTAATTCTTGCATTAGGGTAGGCTGTGTACGTCACACCCCTTGGGTACGGCCCTTCCCCGGACCCTGCGTGAACGCGGGATGCCTTGTGCACCGGGCTGCCCTTTACATAACCAAGTATTCAAAATTTACCATGGGAAACCAAGCTTCAAATCCAAATAGAGTCCAAAAAAAGAAGGGAAAAGGCTAAGTTGGGAGATAGTAGGTTTCCGGTGGATTGGGCAAGGTGCACATAAGTTAGCCTAAACACCACGTTTATTAAAAGACCAAAAGAATTAGCAAAAACACTGAGATTATCTGTAAGTTTCAAGATCTGACATTCATATTTTTTCTTCTGTCTGAAATTCTGAAATAGACATATTTCCTGTACTTTCTTGTAAATCCAGGTGTGGTCTCTTTAAGTGCAGGTATTATCAGGTGACACTTGAGGTTGGCCAACCTCCCAAACCTTACTCTCTTGATATAGACACTGGTAGTGACCTAACTTGGCTGCAGTGTGATGCACCTTGTGCGAAATGCACCCCGGTATATTACTGCCTTTTCCTTGTCTGTAACTTAAATCTTTGAAGTAATGAAAGACCATTAATTCATCTGATATTTGTATGCCATTATATTAATGCACGTTCAACCCTAAAGCATTAGCCTATTTTGTCTTAACATCTGCATGAATATGCACCATCGCAGGCCCCTCACAGTCTTTATAAACCAAATAAAAATGTTGTCACGTGTAAGGATCCTTTATGCACGTCCCTTCACTGGCCTGAGAACCATCCTTGTCATGGCACGGATGAGCAATGTGATTATGAGGTTGCATATGCAGATCGTGGTTCATCCTTGGGAGTGCTGGTCAAAGACACATTTCCACTGCGATTCACCAACGGTAGCATTGTTGTGCCTCATCTAGTATTTGGGTGAGAAACATTTAGTGTACCTTTAGTTGACCTTAAAAATTCTTAACTCTCGATCCTTTCTGTTTCTTTCACTCATATTCTTTTGTTAAATGTGTGATGCTTCTAATTTGTGAGCTCCTGAATTGAGTCATCTTACATACTTTTTGACACCAAGTTGTTTTTTATTGATGAAATTGTTTGCTTTGCCAAAAGAGAAAAATTAATTGAGTCGTCTTCTGCAGTTGTGGTTACAGTCAAGAAGTTCCAGCTTCTACTCATCCACCTTTTACCGATGGAATTCTTGGTCTGGGCAATGGAAAATCAAGCATTGTATCACAATTGAGTGGCTTGGGTCTTATCCGAAATGTAGTGGGTCACTGTTTAAGTGGGCAAGGTGGAGGGTTTCTTTTCTTTGGTGATGATGTTCTTCCCTCATCTGGAATTGCTTGGACACCAATCGTGCAAACATCTTCCGAGTATGTCCTCTGCTATGTTATCGGGATTTTATATGGAGCATTTGAACTTTCTGAGCAAGATGTTGATGTATTACTATGATTTCAGAAAGCATTTCTCTTTGGGACCAGCAGAGCTCTTTTTTGATGGACAGGCCACAGGAGTGAAGGGTTTTCCTGTAATTTTTGACAGTGGAAGTACCTTCAGTTACTTTGGTTCTGAAGCTTACGATATTTTGGTATCTTCGGTAAGATGTGGAAGTAATTTTATATTCCGAAATGCTTGACTTTCTGTCTGTGCACTTACAATAATCTATCTTCAGATAAAGAAAAACATAAATGCAAAGCAGCTGACTGATGCAGTGGATGATAAAAGCCTTCCTGTGTGCTGGAATGGTTCCAAATCCTTCAAATCTGTTAATGATGCCACGAGCTACTTCAAGCCATTAACACTGAGTTTTATGAAAGCTAAGAATGTTGAGCTTCAACTTCAGCCAGAGGCCTATCTTATACTAACGGTATGCACCTTTTCAACTGCTCCATAGGCTTTATATTATGTCTGGACGATATCAATAACTGATTTCTGCTCTTATTCTCTCAGGTGCATGGTAATGTATGCTTGGGCATATTGAATGGTACAGAAGTTGGATTAGGAAACTATAATGTGATTGGAGGTACAAAATCCCCTAGAGATAGTGTCCTGTTAAAAGAATCCACACTTACTTGCAAGGTTGTGTTTTAACATTTAGAAATAACGATGGAATAGTATTCACAAAATGAAGAGAAAATGTAGTTCTTTATCTGCATAAATACTTGGGGGAAACTAGATTTTGATAAGAGTTAGTATCCAGTTCTTTGTGCATTTAATGTCTTTCTGATTTTTTTTCATCTACAGATATTTCTCTACTGGACAAAATGGTGATATACGATAATGAGAAACAACAAGTTGGATGGCTTCCAGCAAACTGCAATAGGCTACCGTATTCCCCAAAACCTTTATTTACATTTTCTTGCTTCTCACATAACTTGGATAGTGTATTCCTCACCAGAAAACATTTTCGTTTCATGAACAGCATCAGTCGTGATTATGGGGAAGATTATTATGATGCATACCCTACCAACATGGGCATATTCGGACAGACTTGTCCTGCAAAGTTTGATTCTTCGAAGCAGCAGGCAAGAAAATAAGGTGACAATGTGAGAAGCTAATGTGGGCTTCGAGCCATTTTCTGTACATGTTGTAGAGTAACAAATATAATTGGTCAATCATTGGGAGTACAAATGTTTTACTGAAATGTTCCCTATGACCTACACTAGTCAACGAATCCTCTCCTGGTTTTGCGTCTTTCAGTTAACTATACACTTTGGTCCCCCATTGTGATTGCTGGTTGTATGAAGTTTTGGCAATAACAATGAGTTGACCAGTTGACACTTGGCTTATACCTGCGAGAAATGGAAACTAAATATTAGATGGACACTGCAAACAATTTCTTGAAGGCTACATTAAGATATAATAAGATGAAATTGTAAACTCAAATGAGTTCAAGTGGCAGTTTGGACATTTAATGATGAAATCACAAAGGAGTAAGGCATTAGTGCTGAATCGCAGAATTCATCTGGGAAAGAAAAGAAACATAGAAAAAGATAACTTTACTTTGTTGAAATCCCAGCTAAATCACGACCTCTATTGCCGACAACCAATCGTGTCTTTGGCGGGCTAAATGAATTGCTCGAGTCAAGAGGCAAAATATGATTAAGTGGGTTCAGAACTAGAGGTTACTTTCTGATGAGCATCAAACTTCAAATTTTATTTTAATATTTCCTCGCCGGAAATAAAACATAATGTAACGGAAGAGATTTACGTTTAAGGGAGTGGGACACGTTTCTGAACAACCCAGCATTTGGCAATGAACATAATTTTTTGCCAGACGAAGGGCTATAGACGGTATACTGGAAATATAAGCTGGGGCTTTCATGATATTGCTGTACTTTCAGTGTTTTCTAGAATATGATTTCTGCAGACCTTGTCTGCGTTATGATTTCTCAAGGCCATCCCAGACTAATGCTTTTGGTCGATTCTTTACGAGCTGTCATATAGAGGTTTACGAAGATGGGCTTTTGAACAAACAGAAATGAACTTCAGTTCTTAAAATCTCCTAGCAGGCTCTTTTCTTATCTGTGTTTTGGTTTCTCAGAACATCCCAAAATCTAACGCTTTCAGTATTTTATTTACGAGCTGTCATGTAGAGGTATTCTATTGTGTGGTAACAAGAGCCTCATGCACTAATTGACAATATTAACCTAATTACACCGAAGAAGAAAAACTGATAACATGATTATAGAAGTGGTGCAATACTATACTGATACACATACAGCAAAGCAATTCATCTATCCATCCTGGAAATGAAATTTTTTTCATCTAAGCAAAAAGTCAGTTTGTTGTGGCACAGTGACAAAAGGGAAACAATCAGCATTTAATTTATTTCTGCCATTCAACCAAGAAACATCAGGGTTTGATTACATCTCATTTTGCTAAGTGTATGAGATTGGAGACCCGCCTTAGCTAAACACATTTAAGGATTATGTTAACAGAGAAAATCGAGAAAGAAACCAAACTTCACTGAATAAAAATGCAAGTCAATTTCGTGAATGGAAGGTTTTAAATCATGTCATTATCTTACCGATGCATTTAATCAATTAGTCATAGGGACCGAATAACATATCTATCTCTAGAGAAAACATAATCAGGCCGTTGAAGAATAAAGTCTATTTGCATTAGTTGTGGGAAGCTCACCTTAGATGTCCGGGGGTCAAGGAGCTCCAAGCAAAACGCTACAGAACATCGATTAAGCACTGCATATTCAGAAGAAATAAATGTCAATGTGAGTCCCAAGTGGAGAAAAAAATAGTTTTAAGAGGTTTTTCCAGTTAAAACAAGATATTCTTTTTCAAATACCATCTCTTCCTGATCCAGAGAGAACAACGAGAGGTAAGCCTATGCACTTATGGAAGGACACTTGAATATGCTGAGAAGAAAACACTAATTGTCTCGACAACCTTATAAGAGATACCAACTGATCCACGCCTAATTCCACACACCAATAAAGACCAAGTAGGCATCCTCAATAAAAAATGTAACTAAATTCTCTTACACTGCTCATGGGAGTGCTGAACTTTCCAAGACATTTATAAGTTCACTGGTAATCACAAGACAATTTGATACCCTTATCTGAAGCAGCTGTAGCTTCAATGACTCTGATATCCCGGAAAGATGATGGATCAGCTGGCCAAGTTCTAGAAGGTAATAAATCTAATGAACAGCCGTAGACTTTTGCTCAATGCAACCAGACCCTCATGGAAAGATTAAAAATAAAAGGAACTATGAATTATTGCATTGTATGCACAGCAACAGATTTTTCTAGGCAACAATAACCATAAAGTAGTGACACAGTTGAGTTTTAACCTGTGGTTGGACAGGGAAAAACACATAATCAATGTTTTCTGCATTTCAACAGTCAAGGCTCCAGCTGAAACCATCCTAGAGTAATGAGCGAATCAGCTCCTAGCTACACTGCAAATCTACAAGCCAAGTCTTGGGAAAAGCTCTCCAAGCTGGATTACGAGGACGCCAAAAACTACATTAAGCTTTCAACTGTGAACCTCCTTTTCCATGTAGATCTGTTTATGTGTGCTACAGATGTCAATCTGTTGTTTCACAGGCATGTAGACAGTTCTTCCACTTAGTCAATTATCAAACTTTCAAATATTTGATTTGCTTAGGAGGTTCATATCTAGAGAACCTAGCACTGAGAATACCACAGCAGTGTCCCTTAAATATCTTTAGTTCATTAAATAAAGGCGAAATACATAAACAGCCCCTTTAAGTTGTCCACAACGATCAATTGAACACTTTAACTTGACATTTGACAAGATAGACACTTTTATTTGACACAGGTGTGAGTTACACTCGCTGATGACATGTCAAACTGACCAAATATCGAGTGACACGCGTATTTCTAAAACGAATTATAGTTTATATTAAGAAATAGTTATAATTTTAATAAAAAGGAAGAAAAAGACCCTACTTTTCCACCTCCCAACCAAAACCATCACTTAAGCCACAGTAAAACAACCAAAAAGTCATAAACCACCAAAGAAAAGTTAGCTTCTTCTCCCTTTAACTCCATGAACGCTGCTTTTTTTCACCACTGTAACACAACCAAAAATACAATAAAAGCTCTCACCTTTAACCACTATTTCTCTCAAATGTTCAATTTCTCCTTCCCAAACATTTCCCTCTCTATTGCAGGTGCAACCGCTGCTTTACTCCATGAAAAGTCGTTGTTCGCTTTGCTTCCATTACTGCTCTTCCCAAATCCCGTTGCTGCTCTTCCATTGGTTTGGTTCCTCTATTTGGTTGCATATCAATCTTTCAGCCACCGCCTGTCAAAGATCCCTTCACTATTTTTTTCTTTCTCAAAATTAAATCACAAATCGTCTCAACCCACTTGATTGATATACTTCTACCAGCAAAAAACCATTGTTAAATCCAAATTGTGGTGAAATTCGAAGGTTTTAGATGGATTTTTTTTTTATTTTTCAGATTTGGGGAAGGGAGATTGAAGAAAGTGTTAGTGGTTATGTGGTGGTATAACAGTGGGGGGTTTTTAATTTTTGGATTTGCTTAATAGTGGATAGTGATTATGGTGGTAATGGAAGTTGTGTCTTTAATGTATTTTTTCTGTCATGGAGGGAAAAGATGGGAGTAAGTTTAGGGCAAAGGACGGTTGAAGATGTGGAGGAAAAATTGGAGGAGGAGGTCTAAGAATTATGCTGGGTCCATTTTAATTTAGGGGAAAAAAAAGATAAATCTAATTTTTAAGATTTCCACGCGCTTAGATCTGAGTTTAACACAAAATTTGCCATGTCGGCGTAAGGGGTTTAAGAGAATATACTTCTACCAAGCAGAGGTGTCTATCTGGTCAGATGCCAAGTTAAGGTGTTCAATTGATCGTTGTGAAGGTCATTTATGTATTTCGCCTTAAATAAACCATATATTGAAGAATTACACAGTAAGATTGAATTATCTAGGACTAGTGGTCTTTTTGATAGAACATATATTACTATTGACTCAAAAGCATCATCAGTTCTTCCTGGTAGATAGAATTTTAGATGGACATTCTTGGAAGACGACATGAGCAAAATATACAGTGACAATTGATCTAAAGATACTTAACAGAATCACAACAAAAGTGGAAAAAACATTTTCTGTTTCAGTCAATTAACAAATTTACTGCAGGGAGCGCTCTAACCTTTGCACGACAAATCTTGGTAATGGCCTCAACGTGAAGGCTTTGCAGCTCTTCGAGTGCATTAATATCCAAGCCACCCAAATCGCCACCCTAAATCCAGTAAAATTGTGATTTATCTAGTGATGTCCAAATAAATGCCACATCGATAACATTGTGTCTCAAGTGAAGAGTGCAAAATGCGACAAGCACAAGACTCCTGAGTCTTTAAGCAAGAAGCAATGCTCACAGTTCTTCATAGTAAAGCTCACAATTTAGAGAGAGAAAGTTACCCAACATATTTGCAATTAAAATTATTAATTTCGGCATCCACTAAAGAATAATGACTATAAATCTTAACAACTCAAATCAAACACCATTAAAATGTAGTTGCAACACGCCCACAAAAATATAACCTCAATTGAAAAATTGATAATTACTTTTCAATTTCATAGTTAATTGCTCTGGTAATTCTTCTTAATTAGCTTCAATTGCAAGAGCCAGTTTTTATTTTCCAAACATCAGGCTATAAATCAAGAGTTAGGGATAGTAAATGAATTGGAGCAGACAAGAACAGGAAAAAAACTCATTGATATCAAAAAACAGTAGAAGTAACAAACACTAGAGAAGCTCCCAATCAAAGTTAGCCAAATAATAGTCATTTGATGAAAGTGTTTGTAGTTCACAGAATTAGTTAGTTAGCTACAACGTTCACAGATTAGCTGGTTAGTAGCATTCAAGAAACCACCAACGGATGTGGTGCAGTGGATGGGACTGCTCCTCCCTTAACCAGAGGTCTTGAGTTCGAGCCCTGGGTATGGAAAAATCCTTGGTAGGGAGCGTTTCCCCCCGAATGGGGCCCTACGCGGCGCGAATCCGGATATAGTCGGGCTCCAATGCGGGTAACGGACACCGGGTGGGAAACCCAAAAAAAAAAAAGGAATTCAAGAAATCAGTTAGAATCAGTTATGAAGTTGTCTAACTCCATGATGGATCTCTTTAATCTTTGATTCTCTCTCTCTCTCTCTCTCTCTCTCTCTCTCTCTCTCTCTCTCTCTTTCTCTCCTAAAAAATGGTTAAGGAATTCTTCTTCTTTGGAGTTTTTAGACCTCTGCTCTCCATCCTTTGCTCTACAAACACGTGAGGTAATAGCAAGGTAGTAGCTTCTGGGAAAAAGCATATTATTCAGACACCAACTTAAATAGGCGTGGAAATGGTGAAAAACATACCTTTAATCTTGAAACTAAATCATCTAGTTCCTTGCACCTTTTCCTTTCCTTATGGTAACGATGCTTCAATTGTTCCAATGCATCCGCAGCAGGAATGTTTTCAAATGCTTCACTATTATTAAATGTTTTCTCCAAATGACCAGTGGACAAGGAAATGTCATTTCTTAATTTTGCTTCCAAGATATTAGACACATCAGACCCCTCAAATGAGACAGTCTCAGGAACAGGACCAGATTTCCTCATCTTTGCTACAAGTATCCACATATTGGCAAGCTCATTCTCCAAATCCTCTTCTCGCCTCTTTGCTTCATCAAGTTGTTTTCGTAGTTCACTTTCTATTTTATCTCTCTCATACAATGCAGCAACCAAAGAAGCCTCTCTTTGGTGTCGTGCATTCAGCTCTTGCTCCAACTCATCCACCGATAAAAAATCTTCTGTCTTCCTAACATGTGCATCAGGTCGACCTCCACCATCACCATCTTGCTTCATATCAAATGAAGCAGATCTCCTACAGCAGTTATTTTTGCAAGGGGCATCTTTTTCAGCAGCGAGTTTGGCATTGAGGTAAGAGAGCTTTGTTACCTCTTCAGCTAAGTTTCGGAGCTCAACTGCTGCTGCTGCTGCCAGCTCTTTTGCATAAGAAGCTTCCTCAGCTAGCTTTTGATGGTGAATTTCTAACCCTTCCTTCTCCTCGACAATTTGCTCGTTCTCTTGTTTCAGGGACTCTATCTCAGCAGCCTACAAAAAGAAATACATGAAACATATTATATTTAAAAAAATTGCATCAAAAGCATAAAATTAAAGGAAAGCCTACCTGTGAAAGAAGCTGAGAGTTCAAGAATGCATCAATACTGCATTCATCGGGGACTTCGTGCACAAGTCTTTCATTTGATCTCATAATACTAGTTTGAGTACTTTCATTCGGAGTTCTTTCTTCATATGAACAAACCCCAGCCTCCCTTTCGAGTTTAGCTTCTGTATATTCATCCGAATACACTGCTAGTGTGGCAGCGTCATAATCTGCATCCTGTTGCTGGCACGTAGAACTTTTTTCTGATAATAAGGAATCAAGTTGTTGCCTCAGCAGAAGGATAGTTTCTTGCATCTCAGAATTCTCGGACATCTTCAGGGACCAAATGATTTTCATTAGAGTTCAGAAGAATGTAACATCTGAATAGCAGATCGTAGAAAGACTACAAATTTACCTTCATGTTTAGTTGCTCTTGCAGTACTCTGTTGTCTGCAGATTTAATCTTTCATGATGACAAACTTAGCCGAGTTAGTCCAGCAGCATTTAGTTAGGTAGTTAATATCAAATGTTTGAGGCTAACCCAGCTCAAAAAAACTTGACCATACCTCCAGCTCGAAGGTCTTTTCATTTAGCTGAGCAGCTAGCTTGGACAATGCCTATATTTAAGTAAAGTCAGAATTCAAATTCTATTCTGTGATAAGAAATGACACATGGTAAGAAACTAGTCATGGACTTGGGATGTGTCCTGCAAGCACTAACTGCCCTGCAAGCAACAACGTAGCCTTTGTTCTTCCATCTCTCTTACTCTCCTGTTTGGTCTAGGAGCAGGGCACATTTCAGTGAATAGTGTTCCTCTTTAATTGCCTGCTCGTATCTTTTGATAGGCAAACATTGATCTCACTAAAGAGGTATCAACAGATGTTGGACAATTACAGTCGAAAGGGTACATATAGGATATACAGCAAGATACAGATGATTATAATCACCAAGGCTTGGTGAATTGTTGTAATTACTCAACTATAAGCTACAATTCCCAACAGCATGGACATGAACCTTCAGTGCAGCACAGGATAGCAGAATGTAAGGCCCTGAATACACATAGGCCATTCCAGGTAAATTAGGCAGTCCCATTCCATTAAAATTTTGCATTACTCGGTTTGCCAGGGAGTTATATTAGAGTTCATTAGGGATTTTACTTCCGAGAAACTTCTTTGACCTAGGTTTAGGGTTATGGTCATATTGGAAACTGTAAGATTCTTAAAGAATATGCTACAAGAAGAATATTTGCCAGAGATGGAGGTGAAAAATGACAAGAATGAGCTCAAGAAGATCAAACAAGCCTTCAAAAAAGGATGTTTTTTCCCGTTCAAATTGGGTGTAACAGTGGAACCTTCCCTACTGTGAACCAAACCAACAAATGCAGAAAAAGCAAAAGAATAAAGGTTTTACTGAACTTGGCCCAATTCCAATTGAATCGCATTGGTCATCAATCCATCAAAATGCTATAGGATTATGGACTTCATCAATTTAGGCCCGTTCTAAATTAGGTAGCTGCTTCAGAGGTTCACTAGAAGTATGTATGCTCCTATAAAACTCCAAACTTTTCCAAATAAATTATGTATTAAGCATCACTTTTTTCAAATTCACCTGAGAAATCTCAATATTGAGTGAACCCTGCGGTGTCATTTCTACTGATCCAACCATGCGTTGCTCCAGGCGACGCATCTGAATTTTTTTTTCTCTGATTTCATCCTTTAAGTTTCGCATTTGCTCCTAATCATGAGACAATATACAGGCATGATTACTCATATGCACATTCAATATCCATCATATCTGGGAAAAGATTATAAAGTTCAGCGTCAATAAATGGCTAACCTGAAGCTGCAAGTCCTCAGGATTCTTAACTGATTGATCTGATAGTCGTTTAAGAGAACTAACACATAATGCAACCTCACCAGCTAGCATCTTCACTTGCTCGTGAAGAAGATCCATTTGATCAGTTACAGTGGTCCCAGTCTGCAGAAGAAGATTGAGCATCTTAGCAGAGTTATAAGCAGAAGACAACTATAAAACCATTATCCATGAGATTGCATACAAGGCTGACAGTTTAGCATACATTAACAACCTATAGAGTGCACAAAGAACATGATTTTGGGGGATGTCATGACATACAAAACCTGGAAGCCGATTGTATCTTTCTGTTTCTAAGCCTCTTTAACCTGAAGTGAATTTGATCTTGCATCTTAAAGGCACCAGTAGCACATGCATCAAGTTAATTACTTCCCAAGAAAAAATTAAGCAGTTCTCTAAACAAAGGTTTCCAGCTCTACCTATTTAAAAAGAAACACCTATAACTCCAACTGCTCCAACTGAAGATTGAACATCTGGAAAAAGCATCTGTAACCACGTAATCAACTCTTACAGAAGAATGTAAATGAGTTTGAGGCCTTACCACAGCTAAAACGTCTAATATTTCCTCAAAGTTAATGAAGACACTAAGGAGGACCAGATAACATCCCATTTGTCTTAGCACAACAAGTAAAGAAAACCACGGGTTAACATAAGGTAGCTTTTAAGAACGGGCAAGAATCTTCTTTAAAATTTATTAAAAACTGCTTAATTTTGTATAAATGTAAACTTTTTTAATAGATAAGAGGACAAACTCAGGTTGAAGGAGTGGGTGCAGAGCTGAGAAATTGTTAAAATAACTGCAAGAAACCAGCTGGGTAAAACACATGAATGAATTTACTGGATCGACTACATTTTAGTAAATTACATATTATTGATGAAACAAGGCAAGACATGTCATCTAGTTCCATCAACTACCCAAGACAAACTAAGTTCTACAAAAATAAAAATCCAATCTGCTTTTCTTCATTCTTCATATCAACTAACCAGAAATTAAAACAAAATTAGAAGAACTTACAGGTGGAAGTCGACCTCCAGTAGCTGCACTGAACAAATCACCTGCTTGGGTTCTATCTGGGACAAAGTCTACTGCTGGAGCATCATCCCCTCGCTTATTAACAGATCTTCTCCGCCCTTCCTTCATATCACTGAATGTAACTCTACTTTGCAATGACTTCAACGAGGATGCAGGTGAACCACTTGCAGAGCTTTCATAATCAGCACTTGGTGATGATCCAATCAGATTTTCGGGCTTCTGTAGCATAAACTATGCATTAGTATATTTTTCTAAGAGTCAAATGTCTTCCACTCTCATCATACCAAGACGGTAAATTATTAGTATCTTAGAACAGGTTATTTCTAGAGCAAGGAAATAATCATTATAAGATGGCAGATTTTTAAAAAAAATTAACTTCTGAATACATATCATTGTTGAAGGACAAACACTGAGGATATCAGGATAAAACTTTGATACTTAGGAGACGAATATTATTGTGCTTCTCTTTTCCTTTTTCTTTTGTTTTGTCATTTAGTACTACACAATCTACCTTTTAATTTTGACAATGATGTTTCATTTCATGCTATAACAGATTTATTCTTCCATTTTAAGTCTTGGTATGGGAAGTTCTTCCAATGCATTATCCAACCCGCAAAAGTGAAAGGATGGATTCTTGTATCTCAAAAGTATGCCAACCAGAAAAGATTAATCCACCTGTTGTCCGTCAATATCATATTCTTCTGATATCTAGCTAACATTTCTTAAGAGTTAAATCTTTTGCACCCAACCTTACATATGCCAATTTCTTGCATGCTCAACTTTTCCTTCTTTGTTTACGTAATAGGAAACATTCACATTTTATTTTACCAGCTGGAAATCAGTGATTGAGATTCACTGTTGCTGTAGCATTAGAAATTTATATCGCGCACTAGTGACTTGTCACATTCTGAAAAGGTCTTATATGTAGAGGATTGAGAGATATTAATGTTTACTTTTAACTTGAACCAGCCAAGCATCCCTCTCCTTCTGTTTCTTCTAAAATCTTTGACCAATTCATCAAGGTTTGTGACACCCTCTCTTCCATCGGCTGATAGTTCGGACTCGATGCTTCCAGCATCCTCATCTATCAAGTATTCTCGTTTTCTATCCGGTAAGTAAGCCAGCTGCATGATCAATGAAGATAAACATGTACATCATGATAGAAGTTTTATGAGCATACAGGTGTGTTTAGCAAAATAAAACGCTCTATATATGGTAATATGTCTTTAATGCTTTTGTAACACAAAGTATTATCAGTTCGATTACTAGTCAGCACATTATGTATGAGAAGCTAGCTGTTACCTCATCTTCTCCGAAAGAATGTCTGCGTCTATGGCCAGGCTTTTCATGGATATCAGGTTGCATTGTACTTTTTGTAGAAACTAAGATTAGTTTAGTTAATCTTTGAATCCTTCCCATCAATGCTGCTTTCGCTTGTTCCTCCTCTTCCAATCGTGATTGTAACTTCACCTGCCCAGCCTCTAACTGCATCACATATAGAAAAAATGAAAAATATACACCAGCTAATTAGGCATGTAAAATAAGCCCTAATATCCTGGGAAGCTGCCTCTTTTCTTCTGTGCATATTTTTTTTAAGTGATCACTGCTTTTTGTTTTCTGCATAGTTTCTTGTGTGTATCTGTTTGGGAGTTCATAGTTTCCCAACAGTTTTATACAAAAAAGGTATTTCCTCTGCAAAAAAGGTGTATGCCCTTGCTGCATAATCTAGACCCTATGGAGAGAGAGGAATCAGAGATGTCATTTTTTTTAAAAAGAAAGCAAAAATCTTATTGATGAGCTCCATGAGTTCTCGGTCACAGGAGTCTCTGTTGATACAGACGTGAATCAGTTGGACGAGATTGTTACTAACACCATCTATATACAAAAAGGTTCTCTGGAGCTTCAGATTAACAAGTACACTGGTGTGTATTAATGGGACATACCTGGAGCTTCAGATTAACCAGATCATCTTGACTGGGTCCCACTTTCTGATTTTCCATAATGCCACGCTTCAGAAGATCAAGCTCTTGTTTCAAACAGGATATTTCTCTCTGATACTTTTTGATGAGAGACTTCTCATCTATAATCTGAAATAGTTCAAAACACATGAGGTATAATTGCAATGCAAATGGTTATGTTATAGCAACAGCATTTTGCTCCTTATGCTTCCCCACCAAATCTCACCTTATTCTGTGATGCTTTTATTTCCACATGCTTAGTTCGATGTGCAAATTTCAAGGTGTTGTGCGTCTCCTCTGTGTTGCTGGAGGCTGGTGTTACCGTGCAAATGAGCTTTAGAAAAATCCAAAAGAGTGAATCAGTGCTTAGGTTTTTTTCTTTTGCTGGGGTAAATTGGGAAGAGGGAGTCCATGCAGCTCAAACTCAGAGTTCGGTTCAAAGCACTGTAAGAAGATAATTGACAGCTGGCAAAGCTGATTTACTAAAACTTACAGAAACTAGACCATGTCCACTGAGTGATGACTGCAACAGACGTGTAAGCTTTGAATCTCGATATGGGATATGAGTAGATTTTTCATCTGTTAGTTTAGATATAACCTGCATCATCGAATGTTGATAAATTGATATAAAAATTCCAGCACTATACTCCAAAGGTAACAGCTGAAACAATTAATTTGTGCATTCTAAAGAAGAATTCGGAAGGGGTTGTTGCCACGTGACCAGGAGGCCACGGGTTCGAGCTGTGGAAATAGCCTCTTGCAGAAATGCAGGGTAAGGCTGCGTACAACAGACCCTTGTGGTCCGGCCCTTCCCCGGACCCCCGCATAGCGGGAGCTTAGTGCACCGGGCTGCCTTTTTTATTCTAAAGAAGAATTCAGTGTTCAATCTGGGGGAAACGAAAGGGACTGTTGATTCAGGAATAGTTTTAACCCAGTGTTGTTAAAAGCGACCGCTTCCTCGCTTAAAGCGAGAAGCGATGCGAAGCGGACCATCTGGCGCTTCTCTGATCTGAAGTGTATCAGGTATACTAAAGCGATCGCTTCCCCTGAAAAAGCGAGAAGCGAGGAAGCGAACAAAGCGACAGAAGAGAGCGCTTCTCTTTATAACTGGGCTGCCAACGTTAATTTAATTAAAAAGGCTCTCTTTTTTTAAAGGGAGAATTACATCCCTTGTCACTTGGTCCAACAACCCATCAGAAAATGGCCCATGTTTGAAGCCCTTACCCTATGTAGCCCAGGTTGTACATAACCTGAAAATTACTTTTCACCAGTTAGCCCCTTTTTTCTTCGTCCCCTCGTTTTTCTTCGTTCCAGTTACATCCCTTGTCACTCCCCTTTTTTCTTCGTTCCAGTTAGCCCACCCCTTATTTCTCTGTTCCCCTTTCTTCTTCATTCCCCTTTTTTCTTCATTCTTCTTCTCTTTCCCAAGTCAGCCTTTGCACCACAAAATTTCTCTACTATTGTTAGTCTCCTTCAATTCTTTTCCGGATTCCAATGGTTAATTAAGGATTTGAAAAATAAAAGTCACCATTACAGGTGGTTCAAAGATTCGATTTCAGAAATTGAGTTTTTCGATTTGTTAGTTGTTTGGAATGGGTGTTGTCTCAATTGACTGGAATCATCAAGATGAGTTCAAAACGTAAATTTCAAGTGATTTGAAGTAGATTTATGCTATATTTGAGTTAAATTTTGTCACACCCCTTTTCTACCCCCAAAAAGAAGATATGTTATGGATTGTTGTGGGTTAAAGAGTTTTGTCAATTAAAGTGATAATTTTGAAATAGGGATTATTTATTGTTCAGAGTCGCCACTTGGAATTGATTTTTTGGGTGTTCCAAGTCACCTTTTATTTGAATCCCTATTCAAAGGTAAGATTTGACACTTTTATATCGGTCTGCGAAAATAAAGTTCGGGTAAGGAATTCTGTTGACCGGGGAGAAGGTGTAAGGCATTCTCCTGGTCCCGTAGTTCTAGAACGGTCGCTTTATTGACTTAAAACTTAGGCTTAAATTAATTTTGGTATAAACTATGATTTATTGTAATTTCTATGTTTTACCTTATCCGTTTTTATTTCTTTGTATTATTTGGTAATTATTAAAGTAAAA